GGTCTTGGTTTGCAATGACGGCCTACAGGTCAGGAGATGGGGCATCCTCTGGCGCCCCATGGAGGTTCGCATCGAGAAGTTCGAGCACGTGGTGAACGCCGTCGTTCGCCTGCACAACTTCTGTCGGGATCGAAAGGTGGACGTCCCCACGGAGAACACGGGGTCTGCGATTCCTCCGCTCGAGGTCGCTTTTGACGACGACGGCCTCATCAGCAGCGACTACATCGAGACCGTTCCAGTGCGTACCAGGCGCCCGGTGNGGGCATCCTCTGGCGCCCCATGGAGGTTCGCATCGAGAAGTTCGAGCACACGGTGAACGCCGTCGTTCGCCTGCACAACTTCTGTCGGGATCGAAAGGTGGACGTCCCCACGGAGAACACGGGGTCTGCGATTCCTCCGCCCGAGGTCGCTTTTGACGACGACGGCCTCATCAGCAGCGACTACTTCGAGACCGTTCCAGTGCGTACCGGGCGCCCGGTGAAGGACCAGGCTAAGGCGTCGAAGCCGAGGGAGGCCATCCGCAAGGAGCTGGAGGTGGCCGGCTTGATGAGGCCAGAGCACAACATCGCCAGGAGCCACAAACGCGCAAGTTAGAGTGCTGTCGGAACCTTAAACTTGGCAGAGAGGGAGGGGAGGTCGAGGGCGAGAGCGGGAGTGGGGGGCAAGAGCGGGGTCGGAACCGGCGGCCGACGTGGGGTGTGTGTATCGCGGGGATCGGGGTGAGGGTCATGTGCGGTGGTCTGTGTGTGTGTGTTGTGTTGTGTTGTGTTGTGTTGTGCATGGGTGTTTTTCCCTGTGGTTTTAAGGCGGCATTGTTTGGTGGGCGTTTATTCGTGTTGCGTTTCTTTTTTTTACTACGTGCTGGGTTAGGATCCGAATAACACGTCCTCCCGCCATCGAAGGTGTTTTTTGTCGAAGCGGTCTACCTCGTGTTCGCGGCCCATAATTGTAGTGTCTTTGGGCGTTCGACATGGGACTACATAGCTGTCACCGTACACTGTTTCCTCGCCAAGGTTCGCTTCTGATCGGAACTGCCTTTTGCGAAGTATACGTGATTGTGAAGCTGTGGATCGGGGCCAACCTGCCGTTGACTTAGTTGGCGCTTGTTTTATTGAGGATGATGTTGCCTAAGAGAGAACGTGTGAGGACGACCGTAAAAGCACTATGGTGATTTACGAGCGTGAGCGACAAGCTCTGAAGCTCTTCCGGAGGGGGGTTCGGTCCTCGCGCACGTCCCCATGTGGTTGCATCTGTGTAACCACGCCAGTCCTGCCCTTGCCCTGGTGCATTCCTCGTACAGGAGTACTAGGCGATCAGAGTCGGCTTAGACAACGGTACAAGCAATCCCACGGAAAAAGCTGCTTCCCCAACAAACCGGGCAACTTCCAACAGAGCCGCACTGTCCCACTTCCATGCTATTCTCGGACATCAAATCTCTCCGGTGTCCGTACAAAAAAAAATCCCCACACACGCTAAGAAGAACAACAGCTCACAGGACCTTTCCACCCAGCAGAGCACAAGCAAGGTCTCGGTGACAATATGATCCTCTAGGGCGGAACTGCTGTGATTTTGACGCATTCGTCATTTCCAAAACATGTCACGATGTTGACGTCTGGAATAGATATGAGGATCCGCAGAACCTTGAACCAATCATGAGAACAACCAAACAGATGTCCTCCTTCGACGGAAAACCCGACTTGCGTGAAAGCATCGCAATGCCCTGTCCTGTCATAATGCTGTAGCTCCACTTCTTGCTGTTTAGCCAAATCTGAAGGGGTCGGAGGGAGGTACAATATTTCCGGAAACACTCCGAATCTTTCATCACGTGTGCGATATCCTCGCCAAAAGGGGGAAGGAGTCTCGTCGCTTGCCGCGTCAAGAATCGTTGCACCTCAAACTCATAAAAAGCATGCATCACCTCCCAATGCCATGATTGACAGGAGTACGCGGACCTTATGAAATCAATCTGAACAAAATCATGTGTGGTTGTCCGACGAGCCATGTGGGTTGTTCAACACTTGGCGAGGTCAACAGCAGTCACAAAAAGGCCTCTTTTTTCGTGCCCACGTACAGCAGTAGTTTCCACCCACCCCAGAAACAGCAAAAATAAAAATCGGTCGGAAAAGCCAAGTCCTTGATTCCCCCGGGGAACGTCTATTTACGTGGGAACAACCTATTGTATCTAGTAGCTACGGAGCAACTTCCATGCGAAGTGAATCTTCGCCATATCCGGGCAGTTTTTTTTTTTTTTCTCCCATCATTGGATTCTGTCGTCTGCCCCTCTGGACGTTTACTGAACGGTTCACCCCCGCGCAACCCCCATGCCGGGCAACGCCTTTTCGTAGAACACAGATCAAAGACTCCCCCCACGTTTGACACTTCAAAAACACAGCATCCCTCACGGCTCGGGGAGCATTCAACATGTGCGCTTACGTTCTGTACCTCGTCCTGCTGTTGCCGCTCAGTCCGAAACACACACGCCCCACAGCCCCCGTGTGGACTGTTACAGCAACACCTGCGCAATCGCCTGCAGGTTTCCAGCCAGGGTGCTCCCACCAAAGACTGTATCCCCCCACCATCCATCCCCGCCTCTCGCCTGCGCAACCAGTACTCAAGCCCTACCCCCGTCGCCCGTACGCGCCAAGGCCCGTGCCATCGCCGGCAAATCATCCACAGGCGTGCGCACCGGAAGCGCATGAAGATCCTACATCACATGGCCCGCGACCGTGCCTCCTTCGACTGCTGCAGGCGTAGATGGCGCAGCAGGACTCGATGACGGTGGGGGCGCGGCTGCGGCCCTCGATGATGCCACAGCCGCCTCGTCGCTGCTCTGCTCAGCCCGTGCCACTCGCGCTTCAGCGGCATCCCACAACTTCTGATATTTCTCCCGCAAAAAGTTCGATGATGCAGAATCGACCTTTGCTTGGAGCCTCTGAACATCGTCGATGAATCCCTCCATGGCAAGGTCCTTCGCTCGGTCCTTCTCTATATTACCGAAAGCAGGTCCGTCTCCCCGTACTTCCTGCTCCGCTGCTTTGCGCCACTAGGCGATCACTTCCTTCGTGTCGGCTACCAGCTCCGCCTGTCATCGGAACCCGTCCTGGGTTTCTTGTGCTTCCGAGAGTTGTTGTTGCCAGAGGAACGGGCGGGTGTCGTCTCACCTCTCCCTCGGACCCCGGGTCCACCCGGCACGCTGCTGCATGAGCCTGGGTGTCCATCGGGGAGGACGATATCGCCGGGGCGGTATGTCTCGTCGTCGCCTCCGCCGGAGAGCTCGATACCGTCCTCTCAGAGCATTGTCAGTAAAGAGCCCCGCATAAACTGGAAGAGATAACGGGCGTTGACGAATCCCCCGTCCTGAGTTGCATCCGCACCGGCCCCACCACTTCTTTGCTCGTTCTCCTTGAATTTCTGATGTGTGCCAAGGAGAGAGCGAAGAAACGGTCCACGTTCGTCGGAAATGGGATGGGAACAAAGTCGTGAGTCTTGAGTGGTGAAATCTGATGTCGCTCACAATCTTTCTGCATTCCATGTGGTACTTGTGTTGGGGCGTCAACGGAAAAAGGGAACGACATACACACAATGGCGCAAGGCAGGACGGAAAAAAAACGTGTTTCACCCAAAAAAACTTGGGGGAGAAGCGCACCCCACGATGATACTGTAGGTTGAGGTCGCGAGGGCCCACAGCTTAAACCCAACACAAGAAGAAACACACACACACAACGAACGACGCTCATCACGGGAATATAAAGGCAACCCGTCTACAGTGACGGTTACATCGACCTCACACCTCGCCAAATTCCTAGCTTGACTGTTGATGCACGCACAGATATCCCGAGACGAGCACAGCAGACCGACAAAGTACGAAGACGTCCTGCATCCTGTGTAGCCACGGCAGGACAACGCTGCCACCTGTAGAATGAAAACTAGTACACCGCTGCACTCACCGTGTGGTTGCCAACCGTTCGAAAACAACGGATGGTCGATTTCATCGTGTCCATCACTCATGCGAAACAACACACGCTGCTCCCGCCACCATCACCACCGACGACGCTGCTGCGGGAGTCTATGCCAGGTCCAGGAGTTCATGAACAATCCGATCTCGAGAGCCTAGCAAATGCAAACCTTGGTTTGTATCTGTACAGCCTTGTGTAGCACTGTTGTTGTTGGTCCTCCTCGTAAACCAGCACAACTTGCGTGGGCACTGATACGGAGCGATAGCACCCCCAAAGAACTGCCCACCTGCACCATGTGGCCACCAAGCTACGCACTAGAGCAAGCATTCTCGAATGGAGTGCTGCTCGCTGCTGCTGCTGCTGCTGCTGCCGTGTAGACGGACTTTGTCCTGCTCTGTACTCTACTAATGCGGTTCTGGTAGCTCTGAAGGACCACCTCGCGGACCGATGCCAAAAAAAACAAAAACAAGCTTTGCAACAGCAGCGTACTCCTTCCCGTTGCGCAATTTTCGGCCCTGGTCGTCTCCAGCATGTCATCTGCCATGCTATGCGTGCTCGCCGTGTGTGATCGTGTTCGACAGTCGGAGAGAGAGCAACTAGCGCTGTGTGGTTGCCAGCCAAGTAGGTGGAGCGTTGCCGAAGCCTTCCATGCGTTGAGACTCCAAAACAGATTTTTTGGACACGGACAAAAAAAGTCCCTGGAGACTTTCCCCGCGATACAGATTTTCGGTTATTCAAAATCGCCGTTTACCGGCTTCCGGGCCTCTTGACCAATCAGAGCCCAATTTTGATTTTTGATTTTCTGGAAACAGATTTTTCCGATTCCGATAAGACAGGCTCTGAACGGTAGGAGAGAATGCGATAAGCCGGAGTTCACCAGGCAACGGGTGTGTGTGTGTGTGTGTGTGTGTGTGTCTTCGTCCTATTAATTCGAGCGAAGCGAGATTTCTAATCTTGCCTGAGAGGGCTCAGCGCAATATAGGGGCCGATGCAGGAAAAAAAGTGCGTGCGTGTGTTGTGTTCGCTTAAACTAGGTTTTAGAGTACAGGACTTGATTTGTGACTACAGGGCGCACTTTTTTTTTTTACACAGCAGAGCAGCAAACAGCAACAGCAGACAACACGCGCTCAGCGAGCAGACTGAACACACACGCACAGCAGACAACACGCGCTCAGCGGGCACAGCGACACACCAACAGCGCAGAGCGGACACAGCCACAGCGGCCTGCATGGCATGGCAATTGCATGATGAGTAGACGTCCGTTGGGGCCGATTGACCCGAACTCCCTCCGTGAGGCAGAGACGCACACAGACTCGCGGCGCAGACAAAGCCACGGGGAGANGCTGCCGGCTTGAAGCCATGCGGCGAACCGACGTGCCAGTTCAAATCTGCACTGGTGTCACTGGTTCATCAGTGACGGGTATAGTTTTTGGTTCCGAGAGCAAAACACTTTCATTGCCAACGTTCGTTGTTTGCCTTGGGTGAAGTCTCGTGAGGTTGAATTTGGCGTTTGTGTCGTGTTGTGCCTCGTTTTGACCTTTTGGGAGGCGCGGTGTCCTCTTTGTCGCTGTGCTTTCCCGACATTTTTGGTCTCTGTGTTTCTGCGTAACCTACATTTTCCTAGGTGTCGTTTTACAACCTTCGATATTTCTCAGGTGCGGTAGCGAGATCTTGGGCAAGATATTCACGGGGAGGACGACGCCCTAAAAAAAAAAAAGCAGATAATTAAGCCCATATCAACACCAGCGCACTACCGTCGTGTACATGTACGATGCGTAGGTCGTAGAACACCATCGCTTTCAGCGTTTTGGTGGTACAGTACGGGGGAATTCAAACGATGGTATGCATATGCAAGTATGTATTGCAGCACAGCAGCAGCAGTGGTTGCGACCTTCAAATCACCTTGTGTCGTAGGTTTCAAACAACATCTCTTGTGGTCGCCTTTCTGCTGCGAATGCGCACCTTTTGACACATGTTTCGCCTTCATTGGCCCCGGGGATGGTGCGTTAGTGACCCCGGAATGTCAAAGACACTTCCCCGCTTTAAAGTCACTTTTATTTTTGGGATAACGTGGTGTGTCTTTAAAGCGGGGTCGACTGTACCGTTATGAAGTGGCCGCACCACATGGGGAGCTATCGCTCCCGAGAAGCACACGCCAAACGCGTACTTGGCCTTTGTGCGGTACTGACACGATGTATATGCATGTGACACTCTGAATCGAGCCTCGTCCGACGTGAACCCGCCAAATCGTCTGTGCATTTGAGGTTCGACAACCCACGGGAGATTGCCCCACAGACCAACACACCCACACACGTGTTTTTTCGGCGCCAGTCACGTGCAACAACGATGCGCAGTCACCCTCCCTTTGGGTTGGTTTTTTGAGCTCTCTCCTCTGTGCTCGGCGGTGGATGGAGTTCGTGTGGATAGGGATAGGTGGGGCACGCGCCGTGCATGCGAGTAGACCGTGGTCCCGCAACTATGGACGCTGTTCACCCAAATCGGGATCCGATGAAATGATTTCACCTTTTTTCAAATCCCGATTTCGTTTTGGGCGGTCCTGTTTCAAGTCCCAAAGATTCGGCGGTCGGAATCACTGTTCAACCAATCAACAGCAGAGTTCGTTGATCTTCCGGTCTAATACCAAATCTAAATGAGATTTCGAGATGCGATTGTTCCGTTAAGACCGGCCGTCATAGGTTTTCCCCCTCCGCATTACGCCCGTCCGGCTGGTGCGTCTAGAAAAAACACCGAAAGATCTTGAATATAAAAACGCATTACGTCGAGAAAAGGATAGTGTCCATGAGATAATTGTACATGGGGGGTATTTATTCCTCTATGAATGTTGTGTTTGGTTAGTGGGAAGCGATATGGAAATGATGATGGAAAGCTCCCTATGCATGCGTGTATCCAACAAAATAGTCAGGCGTTTCCTCCACTCTGAAGAACAGGTTTCACGTCGAAGGTATGGATGTGCTTCGAAATATGTACTCCGTATGTGGTTTTGTCGTGCGACGTTGTGTAACAGACCCATTAGCCCATTCTGCTCCTTTTTTTCAACAAGCTGACAAGGGGGCACAAAAAAAGACTTCCCGCACACCTACCCGAGCCCTCCCCCCGCCCCCCCCGGGAGGGAGACGAAGAATGTTTTGTTTTTTTCGTGGTACATATTTGTAGAGACTTTGTTGGCCTTTCTCCCTCTCCATTGCGTGTGCTTGCTTGTGCTGGTCAGGGACCTTATTTCCAGGTACAGTTGTTTGATAGGTTTGAGACAGTGAATGGTGTGTACATTCGGCGCCGGAAGATTGTTACTTCGAATAAATATGGCTGTTATGGGCTACTAACTTCTAGCTTTAAGTTGGTGTTCAGGTCTGGGGAGTACATACAGTGCCCCCCCCCCCCCTCTCAAGCTAGAAGTATCGTGGAACTTCCCAATGCTTCTGCGACAAGTCCGCGACGTTTGACCTTGAGCGAAAATGGCGAAAAAACACACGACCCACCAGAACCAAAGGACGCATGATTACCATGCGTCAAAACGTCATAAATGCAAGCATACTCAAGCCGGAACTATGCCGGAGAGGGGCTGCTGATGAGCCTACGGCGGCGGTGGCATCACCTTCTTCACCACGTGCAACACCCGTCCACGTCCGTTCAAGTTTTATTCATTCCCCCAGGCCCCTCCACGTCCCTCAGCAAGACTAAACCGCCGTTTCTTCGAGCGCTTATTCACCCCGAGCGTCTTCGCCCTGCCTCCTCGTCCCCCCCCCCCCCCCCCCCCCCCCCCCCCCCCCCCCCCCCCCCCCCCCCCCCCCCCCCCCCCCCCCCCCCCCCCCCCCCCCCCCCCCCCCCCNACCCTCCCCCTTCTCCTCTTCCCCCCCCTTCCCCTCCCCAAGCTCTCTCTCTCTCCCTGTCCTCTGCTATACGGACAGTATGCGCGCAAGCTCAAGCTCTTCCAGGGGGCACGTGGGTTGTTACCATACCCCCGTGCATGAAATGTGCCCCCTTTATGTATAGGATTTAGTATAGGCGTGTTTATGTAGGAAATTGTATAGCGTCGGGGGGGGGATAGGCCTTCGTAACCCCCTCCCCGGAAAAATTTGCCCCCCGGTGTTTGCCATCGGGATTGGGTTTTCGTCGCTTGGCAACGACGTTGTTAAATAAGCCAATGCACTTCGTGAACTCGGCAACCAGGTTACCGGTTTCTTTATACCTCTGTTTTTTTTTTGGCGGTAACCATAATGGTGGTCGAGTGGATCATGTTGTGCGGGGTGGAGAACCCTCACTCCGCGCAAGGGGGATGATCGCACCACGTTGTGTTCAAATGGTCAAGCACCCTCGAGGCAATGCTTATAACTGCTGTCTCTGGAAGTGAAGTACCAGAAAATAAATTAAGTCATACGCAGCTGTCATCCGTACGCAAGGAAGTAAG